TGATCTGTTTGCAAGTTGTGGAGCCAGGGTTTTCGGCCCAGGCCCTGTCGCCCACCTCCCTCTCCTTCCCGAAAAATATCAAAAAGCAAGCAGGTATGTTTTAAATCAGCGTTTATTAAAGCTTTCAACCCTGGCAGCAACATTTTCGAATCTCTATAACTAAATCTGTCCTAGAACACAAGAAAAAAAAAACCATGACAAAGCACAACTTAAAAATCGTCAACAATGGCAGTACTAGTGTGGTCGAGACAGATTTTGTTTTAGACCGAAAAAGCTAATTAAACAACATCGCTTTACGGCTGTCTATTATCCCCTTAACACCTTTTGAGACGAAGAGTCCGAGAATCTTCTCTTAGTTTGCTAACTTGGCATTCCAGCAGAATAAACAAATAAAGCAGCCACGCTTACGGCGGCGAACATTTTTCTTCTGGTCAGAGCAGCCCTGCTTGAAATGAACCTGCAGTCCCACCCGGCATTGCTTCATTTTGGTCAAATCTTTGCTCGTGATTTCCGAGTTGATCTTCTGCACCAAGTCCTGTCTAAATATGTCTACAACAGGCCAGAAAAAATACTGCATTTAATACAAAATGTACTCCACAAAAAATAAGAACGCTACACCTCTCTTTTGATTAATTGATTAATTTTCGAAGCACTCGAAAGAGGTAATTTCTAGAGGGTTTAAAACGTTAGGATTTTACCTGGCAGTAAAGTCTGCAGTTCTTGGTCAATCTCTCGCAACCGTGAACAGTCTACTACCTTGTAGTACAAGACGGACTTCTTGTAAACTGACGTGCCACTTCCAGGTTCCTTCACTAACTTTGTGGTTTTTTCTACTTTGTAGCCGTGACTCTCCAGGTCTACCTCCTTTAACCTTTCCAGCATCTTCTGATCTGACATACTGAGGGTGGGATCGAAGACTTTCACTTCCATGGTTTCCCGGGCTGTAGCATCTATAAATAAACAGCAAAAAACTGTTGAACACAAAGAAAATGACCATTCAAAAACATGCACATTTGAAAGCTCTTCTGATAACGAAATTACGAACAACGGAGGTTCAATAAATTTGCTTCGTTTCTCTGACACAATATTAACAACATTTTAACAAACGGGGGTGTATACTGATTTTTTTCACCATATCTTGGTGCTTTTTAACTGTGCAACCATCAAAGCTCGCCTGCGATCGTAACATTACAAACGATTGCTGTTTGGGGTTACATACCGACAGTTGAGGAAAAGAAAAGAAATCCAATCAGGCCTGAGATCAAGTAAGAAAACATCATCGTCATCTCGGAGTGGAACGTTGCTCTTCACGAAGGTTTCGGAATCACTGTAGTACTGACGTGTCTTCTTGGAACCAAATATGTTTGGTAAAGAAACGGCCGAATCATGGCCATTTATTTGCTCAATGACGTAGCAATAAACTATTTTAGAACGGTGATAAATAATCATAGGATTTTGCAACAAGAAAAAGTCGGTTCGGTTAGCGTGTACGTGTACCTGCCGGACCCAGATTCGCAGACAATGGTAAGACAATGTATTCTCATTTTCACGTTTATAGAGGAGATAAAAAACGCGTTTGTAACTGAATAAAAAACAACTGAAGGACAAGAAGAGGAATACCTTTACTTCTAGCAGCTTTCTTTTCCTGTAGGATCCCGCAGTTAAAACGAATCGTTCAGTTGATATTTATCTGTACTCAATAATTTGTTAAAACTGAATATTTAAAAATGATCACCATAAAATAACTCTGAGCGGTCTACACTTGGTGGGCAAAGGAGAAACCGACTGTGTCAAAGTCAGCGATACAAGTTAGGAAGTACGCGTTAAAAAAATATAATATCACATACAGTATGATATCGAACATAAGAAATGTGAGCCGCTTTAAAAAAAACCCTTAAAATTAAACTGTTCTTGAAACAACTTCAACGATATTGCTTCCTGAAGGGCTTGACTGTATCGACGTCGTTTTACACGGAACGGAAAAAATGTTTTAAATCAAATATCGAAATTTTAAGACAGAGATAATCCTGGCAAGGCAAACTATTGCTTTTTACTTTACGCCAAAACAAAAATGTGTTAAATCGATAGAGTCAAAAGAAAAGTGTAAATACAATACAATTGGTATAAAAGTCTTCCTTTCTCTACACTGCAAAACTAGGAAAAACAACAAAAACAGCACTAGCCGTGTGTTCGATGCTAACAACATTTCTGCAAGAAGTTATCACGATGTGCCATATCAGGCTTTATTTCCTGCCGTCTGGCTCCAAAGTAACTTCAACGCCATCAAAGTCAATTATGAAAGGGAAATGTCATATGTTATTATCTAAGAATATTCATAAGAATATTTTTTGCCTAAAATCGGCAGAAAAATAAGAATATTCAGCCTCGGCCGGAAAAGCACTATTCCTATTTAAAAAAGAGCGTATATAACTTTTAAGGGATTATATTGATGGGGTTAACGACCAACTGAACCACGCGCCCGACCTACAACAGAAGTTAACAACAGACGAATGACTAAAAATTTGGATACATATTCATTGTGCCTCTAATTAAGCCATCATCCAAAAATTACTAGCCAAATTTCAGCTGACAAAAGGTTTTTATTGTCCCATTTTTCAAGCTAAAAGATGAGAAAAACGGTCGAAATCTTAGCTCGTCACATTTTTTTAATTTTACGTCCTATCAAACAGCAATTTTTTTACTCCCTTGCCGCTAGTTTCCGATAACCAGAACTTGTGTTTACTGTATACAAGTAAATTCACCCAAGTATGACAAACACGAAATTCACATCAATTACAAGATACTTATGAATACTGACTGAGTTCGTTAACATAGGTAAGCTTTCAAAGCGACCAAAAAATTTGGCAGTTACGATTTATCGACGAATTTCCTTACCAATTCGGATATATACCACCTAACCAGCAGACCGCACAGCTGCATGTTACCGATTTATTTTTTCCCTTGCTTGAAAAAAATGTTGCTTAGCAGACTAGTAAAGGAGTAGCTAGAAAACTGCGTGATCAACTGAAAACAAACTGTCTCCCTCGCAAAGATATGATTGTATAATAGGGTATCAATGGAGTCTGAACTGACAATTGACAAATCACTAAACATTTTCAGAGTTTTCTTTGCTTCCCTCGAAAAATATTTTTGCCAGTATGACGAATAAACTAACAACCACAAGCTTTTCAACAGCGAAATGGTTCAAATTGTTAACTTGGTTAGGCTCTTAAAAAAGTATTCAAAATGTAATAGCTAGGTTTTGAGATGGAATTAACTGACAAATCCCAAAACTCCGAGGTGCCAATGAAAAAACTCGTGACAGACGAACGAATCAAAATTTTAACTCGAACACATTGCCCTCCATTTTTCCATATAAACAAAAACTGAATTAAAATTTTAACCGATGAATACGTATTGAAAGTTTGTAATCGTACCCTGCAAACTGAAAACATGCAAACACTGCAACCGAAATTCTTACCAGGCAAAACACAAATAGCTCAGAAACCTCCAATAAGCGGAATTGTGTCTGTCCTCACCATCTACACTGTGAACAGACACATATAGGAAAAACTCTAAATCGATCAACAGAAAACCTTGGTCTTAAGATAAAATATTATTCAATAACTGAAAACGATCGAATCAAAGCAACAATTCACCATCAGACGACCAGTTGTTTAAGTTGACTGACTAAACACTGAAATGAAGGCAGTTTTGATAGAAAAAAGTACACCAAAGGTTGAGACTTATCCACAGAAATACACTTCAGTATCTTTTTCGGATGCTATTCATGCTGAGTTTACGCAGGCTTGATCTTTTACAAAATAAGACATTTTACACTGTCTAGTGTTTTTTTAGGAAAGCCGATTGCAATACTATGGAATGATAAGTGAAGAGAATACTTTCTAGATGTGATAAAATGAAGGCGTTTGGAGGAGAGTTTCGCGATCGCGCGGAAACGGCGTTACTACTGTATTGACTCTTGAACTAGGTGTTACATCCTTATCAATAGGACACAGAATTTTGACAAAAAATGAAGGTTATCAAGAGAAGCTTTTTATTTTAAGTACAGCGCTATTGCTCCTTCTGAAATAAGCGCAACTTTTCCAGATTTCATTATCAAACGAACTCGTTGAAAATGTGACTGAAGGAGTTTTTTCTTCCTTTCAGAAATGTCGTTTGAATCAGTGGCGTTACCGATGTTTCATGGTTTCAATTGCACGACAACACATCGGTATTACAGCCAGTATATTTTGGAAGGCCTTGTATAATTCGGTTTGCTACCTAAAAACGCAACTTTAGGAATGTACAATTAGTGCTACTGACCTGATTTCGTCGTTAAATGGACTCCTCATAAAAAGAGAGATTGGATGAACCTGATGGGAGAAAACTAGATAGTAGAACTACACTGTATTGACAGGTATATGTTGAGCATAATAGCTGGGTTTAATACACTTCGAAGGGTAATTAAGGTAATAAATAGAATTTTACTGATTTTTCATTACACTCAAATCACCGTCGGTTATCAGAGGTACCGGTATAACGAACACCGGCAAAATTTAGTTCGAGGTCATCATTCTGAACAAAGCGGTAAGGTAAATGAGCTAATTCAAGGTTTTCGAAGCGAATGAAGAAACAATTCAAAGAACTTGACAACTGAAATCTTAGGTTTCTTGAACAAAATTTAGTATCATCTGAGACGTCTCTTCTATTTCCCCAAGGTTTACTCTAGATAAATGTAAACCGGCTTTCAATGTCGTCTTTCCCGTTCTTTATAGTCTCGAATGTTAATCGCATAAGATATAATTAGTCCTTAGCTAGAATTATCGTTTACTGAATGATAGTTCCTCCACATATTAAAAAAATGTCAGCAAAACCTTCGTGCAGTGAAACATTACAAACTTGTTGCGCCCTTATACGAGTTGATCTGTAGAAAAACGCCCATTTACATCTGAACTTATACTGACCTATACTGATATCGAAGTTAAGAAAAAGGCATTTTGATGGAGTGCCCGTCGTATTTAGTCAGTAAAACTCGTTTTCTTTTATTCGCTTGACTTCGTGACCAAATTAAAGATTATTTATCAATCAATATGTCTCGACTAAAATAAAGTGCCACTTTGACCACCAAAATGACTTCCAGATATGACGACCAACAAACTCCTCTAAAGCGATAAATACATAGATATTGGATAAATTTACTTAATTTTTATTTCATTTGAAAAAGCAGGTAGTTTTAGTCTGGAAGTTGTGTTTACTGTAAACTCACCCAGGTATGACGAACACGAAACTCACTTCTATTCGAGTTAGAGTATACATTTGCATAAATCAAAGATAAACTACGAACCCTTCAACAGAGAAAAGGTTCAAATTGTTAATCTCTGAAAATATTATTCAAAATTTAACAGCAGAGTATGGATCGATGAAATTAACCGAATAATATATCCCAAAACTCCGAGGCTAATGAACAGCCTTTTACATTAACACGATGCCATTTCCAGTCCATCTAAAACAAAGAACTTAGTGAAATGTTATCCGATAACGTGATAACTTGCTAAAATGGTGTTTCTTATTCTTGTATCCGGCGAACTGAAAACAGGCAAACAACCAAAATTCATACTTGACAAAAGCGAATAGCTCAAAAATGTTTTCAAAATGAGCTAAATTGTCCTTTCCTAACGGTGAGTAACAAACTGTGCCTCTGTCTTCACCATCTACACTGTGAACAGACAATTGCAAATCAACGAAAAACTGACTCTAAGTCGATCAACAGAAAACCTTGGTCACAATAGTAAATCCTAAAATATTATTCAATAATCAACGATCGAGTCAAAGGAACAATTCATCCATCAGCCCACCAGTTAGTCTGACTCTAAAAAAAATACTTAAAGGCACAGTTTGGAACATGATAGATGGCTTTGAAACAAATACACCAAACACAGAAATTTACTGAACAGTAACTTTTTTTAATCCTATTCATGCTGGGTTTTGGTAGGCTTGATCTTTTACAAAACAAGATATTTTACACTGTCTAGCGTTCGTGTAGGAAAAACGATTGCAAAATTTATGGAATGATAAACGAACGAAGAGAATACTGACTGGATGCAGGATGTGATAAAATGAAAGCGCTTGAAAGAGAGTTCCAATGCGCGCGATTCCTCGGAAACGGCGTTGCTACGACTGTTGATCTAGGTGTTACATACTTATCAATAGTACACGACAAGAAAATAAGACAAGGTCGTCAATTTTAAACACAGTGCTGTTGTTCCTTCTGAAATAAGTGCAACCAATTTCGTTAAAAATTGATGAACTCGTTGAAAATAGCAGATAATAGAACTACATTACATTGTGACACATCATGACAATCAGTCATGTCG